CAAAACACTACCCCCATAAGCCTAGGGAACAATCTTCCACAATTACACATAGCATCAGTGGGAAGAATAGGTGCATGCGTGGAATCTTCTAGGAGAGAGACATATGTGTAGCGAGGGCACACAGCCAAGGCAACTCACACCTCCAACCATGGAGAGCCCCCATGTCTTTCTCTTCTTGTAGTGTCCTACTGGGCAGACCATTCCACTGGACTCCTTAGGTTGTTCTCCTTGGCAGCCGGAGTGGCTTCTCCACAGGACCCTCTGGGCTTGCTCTGTGCTGAGAGCAGCATTTCCTACTAGGTAGGTTGCCATTGTCAATGGGGTAGAAGAAGGTGGAGAGAGGAGTCCTTTCCCCTGCTGTGATCTGGAAGAGGGATAAAGGAAAAGTTCAAGTGGAAGAAGCATTCCCTCTCAAGAGAGAATCTCTCTCCCTGTAGCTAGTTTGTTGTTGTTTGTCCTTCGTCCTTGAAGAGGACCATGACATCGGAGAGGTGGTTCCATGACATGCAAACGAACCAGATTTAAGTGAGGGAGGGCAGTTTAAAGCCACCAGCCTCACTTTCACCTCCAGAGTCATCTGGGTCCAAGTGGCCAGATATAGATCAAGACAATCAGAGATGGCCCAGGATGCAGTGGGGGACCTTGGCCTTTTCAAGCTAAAATCTTAAGTAGACAAAACAGGAAGTAGCTAGCTAACTCTCTTCTAGAGTGCTAGAGATGATTGACTGTCTACTGTCTGCAGAGCTATCTAGCTTGCTTTTTCCTATTGGCCCAAGGGGTATGGCTTACTTGTCAGCTAGCTATTGGCTAGCCAACCTGCAATTCCATCAATTAAATTAAAGGTCTTTGTATTACCTTTAAGGGATAAAGAAGTGAAAACGATTTCATTTTCTTTGTATTTAGCTTAGGGGTTCACAGCAGTGATTTCTAAATGGGTGGTTTTGTGGTAAGCCAGAGAAATGAAAGACAACTTAGGTAACTAGAACCAAGTTTACTGAAGGATATTTGGAGTCACAAATGACTGGACCATGGACAGTAACTTGCCACAGTGTGGTAATAGGTTCATCTAGCCTTCTTCATGGGAGAGATGTTCTTTCTTAGACTGTGAGGTTCCTGCAGCCTATAGCGACCCTGTTCTTGTGAAGTACAACATATGGATCCAGTTTTTACTTTGACAAAAAGTAGCCTCCCTTTTTCTCCTTATAAAATCTCCATATAAAAAAGTGTCGTATAGTATATGACACTTCAAGGTTTGCGAAGTGATATAGACATATGTATAATATATAATATCATTTGATTCTCACAACAACCTAGTGAAGGAACTGTTATTATTAGCCCCATTTTTACAAATGAGGAAACTGAGGCCAACATCAGTTAAGACACTTGCTCAAGATGGTACAGCTATTAAGTGTCTGAGGCATATTTCAAACTCCTCATCTTCCACTTGAAAGAGATCCCAAATTGACAATGCCAAGGAATATAATAGCAAAATTCCAAAATTACCAGATGAAAGAGAAGGTGCTGCAAGCAGCCAGAAAGAAACAATTTAAATATCATGGAACCACAGTCAGGATTACAAGGACCTTGCAGCTTCTACATTAAAAGATGCAGGGCGTGGAACATGATATTCCGTAAGGCAAAGGAGCTTGGATTGCAGCCAAGGATCAACTACCCTGCAAAAATGAGCATGATTTTTCAAGGGAGAAGATGGATATTCAATGAAATAGGGGACTTCCAAACCTTCCTCATAAAAAGACCAGAGCTCAACAAAATTTGATCTTCAAGTCAAGATTCAAGAAAGACATAAAAAGGTAAATGGGACAGAAAGATACAAATGTTGTTAATAAGGGCGGACTGTTTACATCCCTACAAGGAAGATGACACTTGCAACTCTTGAGAACTGTATTGTTATTACACCATGTTAAAGGAGTATACATAAGGGTGGATATTAGTTGACTTTGATGTAATGATAAAAAATCTAATCAAGTGGGTTAAATGGATCCAAGTAAGTGGATTAGTCTGATCTTAGAAAATGTACTGAGAAAGGAGGAGGCACAGGGTAAATTACATTACAGGAAAAGACAGAAAGTCCTATTACAGCAGAGGGAAAGAAGGGAGGGGAGTGAGCATTGTTTGAATCTTGCTCTCATGGGATTTGGCTCAAGAAGGGAATAATGTAGTTGGTTGGGTATGGAGTCTAGCTTGCCCTGTGGGCAGTGGGAGGGAAGGGGGGAAAGAAATGAAAGGGGGGATGGAAGGGAGGGAAGAAGCAGTGGGGGTGAAGGGGAAGGGGGGGAGGGGAAATAGAAGGGAGGAGAGACTGAGGAGGTAGTGTCAAAAGCAAAGCACTGGTGACGGGGAAGGAGAGAGGAGAAAGAAAGCATAAACGGGGAAAAGGATGGAGAAAAAGACACAGATAGTAATCATAACTGTGAAAGTTGAATTGCTATCTTTTTTTTCTCTTCTGTTGAGTTTTGTTTCCTCTTTCTGATGGTTCCTCCTGTTGGTTTAATTTTTACTTACAACTTCACTAATGTGAAAATGTGTTTGGTAGGAATGTGGATTATGGCCTATATCAGATTGTGCACCATTTTGGGGAGGGAGATGGGGAGGAAGGGGGAGAAAAGTTTTAAACTCAAAAGCATATTGGAGTGATTGTTGATAAATCAAAAAATTAATAAAATATGCAAAAAAAGATGCTCAGATTAAAAAAAAAGATGCCAGATTCTTATAATCTAGCCACTGCTTGGATTCTTATAATAAGCCATGGCTCAGATTTTCACAATCTATAGCCCACAGATGCTCAGATTCCTTAAGAGTCTGGCTAATATGTCAAATCTTCAATAAACCATGCTTTTGGCAGAAAACAAAACAAAACAAAAAAACCCTCCTCATCTTCTGACTCCAAGTCCAGGTTTCTATGCACTGTGTCACTTAGCTATGCCCTGTCTTCCATTAGAACGGCAGCTAGCTGCTCCAGTAGATAGAGCACTGGGCCTGGAATCAGGAAGACTCACCTTCCTGAGTTCAAATCCAACCTCAGACTCTTACTATCTGTGCAACCCTGGGCAAGTCACTTAACCTTGTTTGCCTCTATTTCTTCATCTGTAAAATGAACTGGAGAAGGAAATGGCAAAACACTCTGGTAGTTCTGCCTAGAAAATCTCAAAGGGGGTCACGAAGAGTTGAAAATGACTGACTGAACAGCAGTGGCTGAATCCTCCATTAGAAAGCAAAGTCCTGAAGAGATGGCTTGTTTTATCTTGGTAGCCCTAGCACCTAGCGCAAAGTAGGCTTTCAATAAGTGCTTGTTAAATTGAATTAAATTGACACGGGCAGGTGATACTTAGCCAATAAACATTTATTAAAGACCTACTGTATGTCAGGCACTATGTTGAGTGTTGGGGTTACAAAAAGAAGCAAGAGCCTCTGACCTCAAGGAACTCACAATCTAACTGGGGAGACAACAAGCAAACAAAATGATGTTTCCTCAGTTCTCCTGATTCTCAGGGATTTCAGGGCAATGAATGTTGAGGAGAGTAGGGGTGTCTGTGGCTTCCATTCTTAGATTTATGATTCAGCAGTTTTGATCATTCCAATGAGTTGGGGGTGTAGAGATGGGCTAAAAGAGGAAGAAAAGGAAGCCCGTAAGAAGACTATGGCTCATCCCACGGCCTTGGGCCCAGTCTGTGACATATTATCATCTGGGTCTTGCCAGAGGTCAGGGTCGCAGTAGCAACAAAGAACAAAGATGTCTTTAAGCTGTTCTATTTAACTTAAATTTCTGGAGATACTCTCTCAACTTTAAAATCTGCTAAATAGATTGTGGAAACAGGTTAATATTCATTTGGGGGACTGTTCTTTACTTCCAGGAGGATACAAAAGGAAATTTCTTCCCTTTCATCAGACATCAGTATTAGAAATAAAGCAGTGTTCCATACTTGCCAATAATCATTCTTTTTTTTTTTCCTTTTGTCTATCAGGTCGTCAGTGTGGAAACTCCCTGCCCCCATGCAAATTAGCAACTGTCTTCTATTTCTATTCTTTGAGACTTTTGTGGACCCTGAGGGGTAAAAGTGACTTGCATATGGTCACTCACATAGCTAGTATGGGTCAGAGGCAGTCCTGGAACTCAGTTCCTGCAGATTCCAGGGCCAGTCTTCCATTCACTATACACCATGTTAATTCTTTATACGTAGCAAGAATAATAGTGGCAGCTCCCATTTCTCTTAGGGTTTAAGGTTTACAAAGTATTTTTTTCTTATGTTGCCTGTGGCTGAGAGCGCAGGCTCTGGGCTCAGACAGATCCTGGTCCATCCCCCTGGAAGATCAGGTTCTCTTTCTCTGTCTTTGTCCCTGCTCAGGAGTAAATCAATCCTGGGGAATCTCTTACAAGGGTTCTTAACCTTAGGGGTCTGTAAACTTGTATTAAAAATTATTTTGTAGAATGTATTTCATTTTACTTTGTTTTCTTGGTAATCTTTTGTGTTTTTAAAAACATTATTTGTGATATAAGATTCCTAGGCTTCACCAGACTACCAATAAATGCTTATTGGTTCTTACTAAGAATTTACTAGGTGTCTACTTTGTGGCAGGCACGGTGCTAAGCACGGGGAATACAAAGAAAGGGCAAAGACAGCTCCTGCTTTTAAGGAGTCTAAAGTGGGGAAATAACAGACAAACAGCTCGGTATAAAACAAGCTATATATGGATAAGTTGGAGATAATCAATGGGGGTGGGAGTGGGGAAGACACTAGCATTAAGAGGATCAGGAAAGACTTCTTGTAGAAGATGGGATTTTATTTAGGACTTGAAAGAAACTAGTGAAATCAAGAGGAGGGGGAGGAAGAGGTACAGTATTCCAGGGATAGGGAAACAAAAGGTTAAGAATTCCTATTCTAAAACAAAGCTTAGGTATGGTTCCTGTCTTCAGTCTTCCCAGAATGTGGGGCCCTTTCCAGAAAAGGTACTCAAAATGCTATTTATGTTCTTCTCCACAGAAACTATCCAAGATGCAAAGGACCCACCGGCATGCAGGTAGAAGTGTAGAAAACATAAACTACGCTGTCAGCCCATTCTATTCAGTATACTGTCTGCAGAAGGTAAAGACCCTGTACGGAACTGCTGAACAGACATTTTGAATTTACCGAAGATCCGAATTGGCCAAGCAGCTCAAGGTAAATAACATAAAGGTTCCAGATCTCCCGCCGATCCAGGATCCAGGATCCAGGATCACGGCTTTTGGGTAAAGGGTATAGGTGGTGCTGCTGGTGTTCTCCTCAGAGAAGTGTGTTACTACAGAAATCTCATTCCTCTGGAGGGTTGATATCCTAATTCTGAACTTAAGAACTTTCAATTCATATGAGAACATGGAAGCTGCCAAAGATTGCTTGTGTTGTCTTCTGTGAGAAAAGGAAATAAGTGACAGAAAGTGTTCTCCAGGGCCATGTGGTTATGCTGCAAGCTGATACGGCTCTTCCTGGTAAAAATGGAGCTTGGTGAAAGAGATCTCCTCTTCTACTTTGTTGAAAGAGACGAAGGGGGGCAGCTAGGTGGCGCAGTGGAGAGAGCACCGGCCCTGAAGTCGGGAAGACCTGAGTTCAAATCCGGCCTCAGACCAAACACTTGACACTTACTAGCTGTGTGACCCTGGGCAAGTCACTTAACCCCAATTGCCTAAAAAAGAGAGAGAGAGAGAAGAGAGAGAGAGAGAGAGAGAGAGAGAAGAGAGAGAGAGAGAGAGAGACACGAAAGCATTTGGCAGAGTCCAAAAGAAAAAAGAGAGTATCTCTTTAAAGGTCACAAAGGGTCTTGTTCCTCCAACTAGAATCTGTCCTCCCCACCCCAGTCAATCGATCACCAGGAGACAGCTCCAGTAACTGGGGATGATTAGAGGAGCATTTCCCTCATACAGGGAGGAATTCCAGTCTAACAATGAGCCATGCTGAGTAATCTCATCAAGTAGATAGGTGGAGCTTCTTAGCCCGGTACAGTGAAAAGAGTGCTGGATTCAGAGGCAGAGAAACTTGGTTTAAATCTTACCTCACTTTACTATTTCTATGAACTTGGGCAAATCCCATCTCCTCTCTGCCATTTTCTCACCTGTAAAGCTAAGGGGTTGATTTCTAAAAATCCCAATCCTCTTCTAAATCTAAGAGCCTGTGGTCAGGTGTCACTCTCATTTTGAGAAACCCAGATCAATCAAGGGTTCCCTCATTACTCCTAAACACTCAGAAAACCCAGGGATCATTATTCTCATTTTATAAATGGAACAACTAAGGCAATTGGGGGAGTGCTTTGAATCACGTGTTGTTTAGTTTTTGCGCCTGACTCTTTGTGGCCCCGTTTAGGGTTTTCTTGACAAAGAGTCTGGAGTATTTTGCCATTTCCTTCTATGGCTCATTTTACAGATGAGGAAACTGAGGCAAACAGAGTTCAATGACTTGCCTAGAGTCACACAGCTAGTAAAGTGTCCTGTATAGTAAGGCCAGATTTGAATTTAGATCTTCCTGAGTGCAGGCCTGGCCCTGTATCTACTGTACCACCTAGCTGTCCCAATGAGTCACATAGCTATGGGGCAAGACTGGAGAACAGCTTCTCTGCATCCCCATTGTAGAGCCAGCCCTAACCTGAGCAGGCTACGTGGATATCAGGCAGCTCTGGGCTCTCAGGGCTTGAGAGCGAGTGTGGTGTGGGAGGAGCAATATACTTCAGTGGAGAAAGCACAAGCTTTTGAGTCTGAGAATTTGGCTTAGAATCCTATGCTCTACCACTGATGGTGCTGTGTTGTGTTGCTTCTGCCAAATTCCTTTCCTTCTCTGGGCCTCAGTTTCCTCATTTGTAAAACAAGAAGGTTAAACTTTACTAGATGATTTTAAAGATCTATTCTGACTCTTAATCAAAGGAGCCAGTGGCTCTATCCCTGCCCCTGTCCTTGACCTTGATTCTATCTTCCCCATTCCCAGCCTTCAGCACGGAGACCCTGGAAACCTCCCTCACCTCCCTCAGGCCTGAAGAGAAAGATAAGTGAGATTTAAGGAGGAAAGCAAAAGTTGGCCTTTGTCCTTGAAAGTGAAAGAGGAAGGAAGGAGAAGAAAAGCCAAGCATGGTGGGGAAAAAAAGTGATGGCTGGATTTGAAGTCAAAGGACCTTGAGTTCAAGTCCCATTTGACACTTAAGAGTTGTGGGACCTTGGGCAACAGCTCCCTTATATGTAAAATGAGAAGCAGGACTAGATGAGTCCCTTTAAGTCTATGAATCTTGAGTATGTGGTGACAGAAGTATCCTCCTGGCTGGTCCAAGAACAAGACACTCCATCTCTCAGCTCCAGGCAGAACCCCCATATCCTTGAGGAAGCCTTCCCCAGTCCCTTGATTCCAGGGCCTTCCTTCTGTTCATTATGTCCTATTTATCCCCGTACATAGTTTGCTTTGTATATATTTGGTTTTGTGCTGTCTCCACGCATTAGATTGTAAACTCCTTGAGGGCAAGGAGTGTCTTTTGCCTTTATTTGTGTTCTCATTGATTAGCACTGTGCCTGGCATATAGTAGTCCTTTAATAAATGTTTATTGAATGAAAGAATGAATTGATGGTTTTGAAGGAGTCAGAATTAGGATTATTATGGTCCTGGGGATGAGGATGACTCACATTTCTCCATATCCCTTTAAGGTTTATGGGCTTACCTCTTACCAATGCTGTAAGGGAGGTGTTGCAAGGGCCAGTGTTCCCATTTTACAGAAGACACAGAGGTGTATAAAGCTTAACTAATATAAGGAGACTGACTCAGAAAGGTGAAATGATGTTTCAAGGCCACAAAGATAGTAAGTATCAGAGTGAATAGGAATTTACCCTCATATCTCCTCAGTCCAAATCCAAAGATCTGTCCACTGTACCAGGCTAGCAATAACAACAATAACGTATAACAACAAAGAAAAATAAAAAGAATGATGAATCTAAGACTTGGGTTGACACCATTCTGTGACTTTAGGCAAGTGACTTAATTTCTGGACCTGTCCCCTGATCTGTAAAATGAGGGAGTGGACTTGATGACCTTTGACATCTCTTCCATCTATAAACCTATGATAATGAATCATCCATAGAACTGTAGAATCTCCAAATTGGAAGGGGCCTTGTTACCTCTGGTGGGTTGGGGGGGCTTAGAGGTAGAGGTGGAAGGAATCATTCTCTTGGAGGAATATCCATGCCTACAAAAAAGTCCTCATGACATATCTTTATAAGGACTTCAAGGTTTACAAGGGATATTCCCCAGGCCAATTGTGGGATTATGCATTACCCCCCTTTTACAGATGGAGAAGCTGAAGTTGAAGGGGGACTTTGTTGTTGAGAATCACCAGTTTGGTGGGTGTAAGAGTCAAGAATCGACTCTCACTCTCTTGACTATCTGTCTGAGCACCCTTTCCATTTGGAGGACTTTTGAAGCCAGGTAAGCACTATCCTGAAGGAATATCAAAGGTGTAATTTGGAAGAACAAGAATTGTGGCCTTCTAGGTCCTTGGGTATGGCCTTTTGACTAAGTCCAAGTTTTACAGAACAAATCCTTTTATTAAGGAGATTTGTTCTGTGAAGTTTGGATTCAGTCAAAGGGCCACACTTGAAGACTTAGAGGGCCACAAGTCGCCTCAAGGCTGCAGGTTCCCCATCCCTGCTAGACCCTCCGTTTTTTTACTGCCAGTTCTCTACTTCTAAAATCCAAGAGCCTGATATTTGGGGTGCTCTTTCCTTTCTGAGTCTCTCTTCCCCCTGCTCTGCCTCCCAGGGCTCTCTGGTCCCTGATAGTGTTGGGGTCAGAAATAAAGCTGTGCTCACTACCTCTGAAGACATACATACCTGGCAGCCCTGGGGCATCATGGTGACCTGGGGCAAAGGAAGAGGCCATTCCTGGCTTGTTTCTAGTGAATCCAGGGCAAGATAGGGCAGAGGAGTTGCAAGAGGGAAGAGTGAACAAATGGACAATCATGAGGCCCCTCCTCTAGGGACACTTAATCCTGGCCTTGGCCTTGAATCAGTCACAAGATCCCTTTTACCTACGACATAGTACTTTTCTGTAAGAGAGATAGTGTGATGCAATGGAAAGAATGCTGGATTTGGAGTCAGAGGACTTGGGTTCAAATTCTGCCCTTTCTATTTAATTACAATTATCCGTTCCATATCTTGGGGCAAAGGTGCCGCACCCCAAGATTTAGAAAATTCAAATAAAAATTTTTGGCTCTCCCTTCATACCAGAGAAGAAGTCTGAATTACTATAGTATTAAAACATAAAATATGTTGATATTATATAGTATTACACACATGTTTTATGCATTTCTAAACTTTTCTGTGTCATCTTGCTGGCCCACGATATATTGGAAACCCACAATGGGGAAAGGTGAAATGTGGAAGGAATAACTAACTGCACTTCAGTGATGTTGGGCAAATCCCTTCTCTTCTCTGCCTTGCCCTTGTCTTGCCTGCAAAACAAAGGGGCTGAACTAAATAATCTCTCAAATCCTAATCTAGCTCTGACTCTAGCAACCTGTGAAGTCAGGTGTGACTCATTTTGAGAAGCCCATGTAGGGAGACAATAGAAGAGTCACCAGAGATAGCTATTCTGCCTCCCTTCACACCACATAAAGACACCTTCGTGTTACACATGGGAGATAGACTCAGGATCCACCCAGCATGCTATCTGATATCTGCCTTGTGCAGGGACATTGACTTCCTTGTTGAAGACCCAGATTGGTTCAGAATACCCACCCCCTGGGCCTCTCCCCACCTCCCTCCAGGGTTTCTAACTTCTGCTTAGTTGTCCATAACACTACCAATAACAGGATATTTTATCATATTTTTATAGTACCCAAAATAGAAGAAAATAAAAATGTTACCCAGAGCACCCATGTAAATCAGGTCCATGGAACAGGGAGTTTTATTCCTACATAGAAAAAGGAATTGCCAAGCAGTAAAGAGCCATAGAATAATTAGAACAGAATCTACTAACTTATCCATGCTAGAACATTCAGTTGCAAGGCTAATAGCCAAGTATCATAGGATCAGTTGCAAGCAGTTTCTTTGTAGATCTACAAAGTCAATAAAACTAAAATTGATTAAGAGAAGGAAACCAAACTTGGTACTTTAGAAGCTTTACCTCCATTTGAGGCATAAAGAGGCCAAAAAAGGAATAAGAAAAGATATAGAACATGAATCAAAAAATAAAACTTCAGAACAGGCAGAAGGGGAAGTGAATTAATGAAAAAAACAAAGGAGTCCTCCTTAGAAAAGGCACAGAAAAAGAAAAAAAAACCTAGCAAACAAAAAGTTGGAGAAGAGAGGAGAATGATTTTGAACTAACCATTTAACTAAGAGTGGGAAAAGAAAGGAAAAAGAGGGAAGAATAATTACATAAAAGGAAAAAGAAAAAGATAAAGCTCCAAAACTTGGGAAAGGATTGACAATTGAGGATGAAAATTGGGTCAAAGGAGTTTGTGGAATAGGGTTGCATCAAAGCAGATTAAGCAAAATTAATCAAAGGGGCAATGTACTGACCTAAAAGAGACAGGAGAACAAAAAAATTCCAATTTTAAAGAATTAGATTCTCAAATGGAGAAAACCATAAACTTCACTCTCACAATTTTCAATGTGAATAGATTAAATCATCCAATAAAATCAAAGAGAGTGACAAAGGATAAGAAAACAAAACCTCGCCATGTCTTGCTTATAAGAAACAAAATCAAAATGAGAGGCTGAAACAAAATTTGCTTCTGTATCAAATACATCCACCCCCCCTCCCATCAAGAGTTTCAGTCATGGTATCAGACAAATAATTTCTCATTTCCATTGCATACAGTCAGTCCCAGGGATCCTTCTTTCTGCTGTTCCCTCTTTCTTTCTCTGTAGGCCTGTCTGCTTCTGTGGCCACCACAACTTTCCCAGTAGCCCCTACCCTGATGCTTAAATGCCTGGGAAGAGAAAGATCCCAGCTACCTCAAGCAATCTCTCAAAGTCATGTACCAGAGAAAAGAAGATAAAAACTGGAGGCAGCCCCCTCCTCAGCACAAGTTTGCCTAGGAGATGCTGGCTTGGTTATTATGAGCCAGGCCCTGTGCTAAGCACTGGGGGACACAAAGAAAGGCAAAGATGTAGTTCTTGCCCTCAGGAAGCTTTTAAACATTCATTTTTAAACATTTTTAACATTCTTTTAAAAAGATGTTAATTTGTTTTATTTTTAATTTATGGAATGAAACAAGCATTTCCATAACATAGTATAATAAAAGAACAAGATGATTACACACGAAACTGCATATCTGTTATATGTAACTTTCCATTCCTCTTCTGTATATAATAAAGTTATCATGTAAATTTTGTTTTTTTCTTCCCTATCCACCCCCTCCAGAGATGGCTACCTTTAGACACAAATGTGTGTGTGTGTGTGTGTGTGTGTGTGTGTGTATAAAATCATTCTATATATACTTCTATTTATCAGCTCTTTTTCTGGATTCAGATAGCATCTTCCTTCATACGTTCTTTGTAGTTAATTTGGGTATTTATAATAGTCAAAATGACTTATTTATTCAAAACATTCTAATGGGGGAGGCATCATGTAAATAGCTAGTTATATATAACTCATTCTAAAATGCCAAGCCTTTTTCTTTTACCACTGGACCACCACATATTAGAAGCAGCCAGCTAATTCATTGGCAATGAATCACCACATCCTTGGAATTCGAAGAAGATTCAAAGGACCCTTCCTGGTACGGCCCATATAGGTCCATTCAACTTTGCTGCTCCAGTAGAGAGTTCATATCCCACTCTCTCTTGGACTCCATGCCAGTCACCCTTGCCAACAATTTTCTCTTTTGGATGAGTTCATGTGACCTGGCCTCTTTAAGCTGATCTGGGCTCATGATTTGTCTATCCAGCTGGCACCATTGATCTGTGTGTTGTTTAGAGTAAGGTCTGAGGTCACTTACTCATTAATGAATCATGTTGTCCCACAGTTAGGAAGATTTGTTACTGGTCTCTGCCCAATGGGGAGGCAATGTTGAAGTGTGCAGGTCTGCACACCTGATCAGCCATTGTGGTCAAAGACAACAGCCAGGAAGCTGTGATGTTGGGAAGTCACCAGGGGGCAGGAGCGTCCCAGAGCCTTTCACGGGAGACGATGCCCTGGGGACACTGGTGCAGCTGCGCATGCTTGGAATTACATCTGGAGGAGAGGGTGGGAAAGCTGGGGTGTGAGTTTCAATAAGGCTGTGGAGTTCCGGACAGGACTGGGTGTGGGAGACCAGCCAAGGTAGGCTTCCTGCCTTCCTCCATCCTCACCTATGGGCCCAATAAGATGGGGTTGGAGGTGGGGATGGGGATGAAGGTGGAGATAGGGATGGGGATGGGGATGAGGATGGGTGGAGGATTGCTGATTGACAACCTGAGCATAGTTACAAAGGGTCTTAACTCCTACCCTCTGGTGGAGGGGGGATCCCGGCCCCTGTAAGCATTCTTGCTGGCCTCAGTGTGTTATAGGCAAGAAGCACTGTTAACACCTGAGAGTTCTCTTTAGAGAAGTCAATGAGTGAGTGTGAGAGAAGATTTCTTGTTAGGGCGTATGCAGTGAAAACAGTGGTTGGTGGAGTTTAGGGAGAATGTGGTAAGAGGAGTGGGGATGGCAGCTTAGGGTGTGAGGCTGTGATCTCTGAGATCGGAAGGTTGGTGTTCAGGTGATGAGGGGTGGGGCAAGATGCCTAATGGGGTGGGGTCAGGGCTGGGTTGGGAGAAGCACAGATATAATAATAATAATAATAATAATAATAGGTCTCTTTTTATAATACCTTACAGTTTATAAAGCACTTTCCTCACAACTGTTAGATGTAAATAGCATAGACATTTTTACTACCCTCATTTTACAGTAAATATCTGAACTGGAATTTGGACCCCAGTCTTCCAAAACTCTAAATCCGAGGTACTTTCCACTCTTCCAATATACTTCTCCTGATATCACAAAGCAGAAGAATGTGACCCAGAAAAGGTTTTTTTCTTTGTTGGGAGCAGGATCAGGTTGGGATGGTGCCCATTTGTAATCCTGGCCAAGGAAGCTGGAGTGGTGGTTGATCCCAGTGAGTAGGATTGTAGGTGTGTCCTTCAGGGGAAGGTGTGCCCTTGGTGAGCAGACTTGGGGGTGGCTGTGTAGGTTGGTGACACAGCATGGTGAGTGGAAGGGGTTATAGCCTGGGGTTTGCAGTCCCAATGCTCAGTGCCTAAGTCACTGCTGGGTGGAGCAGACAGCTTCCTAGGGCACCTTCTGACATCTTAAAAAACCCAGTCTGTCAGTTCTCCTGTGGCAGAAGGGGTGCAATCAGGAGTTTGGTGCATTGCTGAAGAAAGAGGGGTGAGTAGGGGGAACTCTCAGAAACTAGGTGGCAGGGCTGGAGGGTAGAGATGAGGGTTAAGTCTAAAGAAGGAGGTGGCCGTATGTGTGGAGGGAGAGGTCCAAGGCTTCCCTTCAAATGTCCCCCATCCTCCAGCGCACAGATACACACACACACACACACACACACACACACACAGACACACAGACACAGACACAGACACAGACACACAGACACACACACACACACACACACACCCACACACCCTCTATTCCTTAGGTCTCTTTCCCTTCTTGACCTAACTTTAAGGGACCAGTATCCACCCAACCTCTCATCTCCAGTCCACTAGAGATTATCCCTCAGAAGGGTGCTTCTCTAAAATCCTTTGGTGATGGGAGGGAAAGGGACAGTGGGAGGAAGAGAGAGCAAAAAGACAAAGGAGGAGAAATAAGGAAAGAGAAAACTCTCCCTGTCTTGCCATGACATGTAATCTGAGAGATCTCAATGAACCCAGGTATCACTTGTAATCAGAGAGATCTCACAGGGCTCAAATATCCCCCCAGAATCAACTGCATCTCTACTGCAGGCCCCTGGGCAATGGGGGTGTCCCAGGCCAAGCCAGCTGCCGGTGGCTTATGTTTGGGGTGGCTGCCTGGTGGCTGCTCCAATGATGATGCTTGAGTGTCGAATGTGTGAGTGGATGAGATGCTCACTAATGGGGGAGAGGGGTGAGGGAAGGGTTATTCAGACTGAGGAGCATACAGTCTCCTTTTCTGTGCAGAAGAGGTGACCTTCTGTGACATTCATGTAGCTGGGGCTTAGGCTGGTCAGTTGATCAGTTTCAGAGAGTGAGATTTTTCCAAGTCTCTTGGGGTTCAGCCTAGACATTAACTATTAAAAGCTGGCTTTAATAGCCACCAGTTAATCCAGATAGGTCAAAGTACAACTTGGTGTCCCATTCACCACGGTGGGCTCTAGAGATGCTTGCCAACTAGGGCCTATCCATTTTCTGGATAATAATAACTCACGCTTCTATGGTACGTTAATGTTATAAAGCACTTTCCTCAGAACAACCTTGTGAGGTGGATAATATGAATATTGTTCTCTATTTTACATAGAAAGAAAGTGAGGCTCAGAGGACTGCATAGCTAGTATGTGTCAGAGTCAACAGCCAGACTTGAACCCAGGCTGAGAGCCAGAGTTTTATAGTAGTTGGGTATGGACTTGGGAGTCAGGAAGACCTGGGTTCAAATCCTGTCTCAGACACTTAGCTGTGTGATGGTGGCCAAGTCACTTAACTTCTCTGTGCCTCAGTTTCCTCAACTGTAAAATAAAGATGTTAGGCTTCATTTCCTCTGAGGTTCCTTACATGTATGTTCCTATGTCTTCTGATTTCAAAGTTAGCACTCTTTTCATTATATGACACTGCCCTTGGTGGATTCTGCAGCCTAGCACTAGTCAGAGTGTACAACCCCCTGGAAGGTCTCAGACTGTCTTCCACCTGTTTGTATGCATCTCATTTTAGTGACTCTTGGAGAGAAGTCTGCGGGTTAAAGGGAGGTAGCAGGAAGAGCTGCCAATGTGGGTCGCACACAGAGAGACTCTGGGGGACTCCGGAGGGCAGAATCTATTCCTTTGGGTCATGGGATTTAATACGGCTTTGGATGGTGGCCAGTTGTGTCAGGGGTGGCTGGTGATCCCAATCTCCATCCCACTTCCTCTACCCATGCTACTTTAGAGAACAAGAGTTCAATCCAGAAAGGGTGGTTCTAGCTGGTGCCTTTGCTTATTCACAAGGTGTATTACCTGTCTTTCTGTTATAATACAATCATTTATCAAAGGTCTGTTGTGTGCAAGGTACCGGGAAGATATAAGGTTTAGATAAGACATAAATTTGGTTCCTGCCCTCAAGGAATTTACAATCCAGTAGGATAGTAAATTTAGAATAGGATGAGATCCTAGAGTTTATCTAGCCCAACTCCTCATTGATAGATGAGGCAATTAAGGTCCAGACAGGTTTAATTACTTACCCAGGGTCACAAAGTTAGTATCCAAAGCAGAGTTTTGAATCCTGGTCTTCTGACTCCAGAGGAGTCCAGAGTACAGTGCCCTTTCCACTGTACCACCAAATAAGATGAAGTCTTGAAGAAGGACCTTATCAACCTCAGGAGATCCATGAAGACTTCCCAGAGAAGGTAACGTTTGAGTTGGGCTTCAAATGACGGGTAGGAAGAAGTCCACAAAGACAGAGAAGAAGAGGAGATTCCAGGCATAAGAAGTAGGCTAAAAAATGACTGAAATGAATGAATAAATGCTTGTTGAATGAATGAATAAAAAGCACAGGGAAGTGAGAGTGCAGTGCAATTTCAGGGAGAGAGGATAATCTCAATTGTTTTCAGGGCAGAATACATGGAGGAGAATCTATTCACTTGTCTGACTCAGCCAGTGTGTACAAAGAGTTTGCTGTGTGCTCAGCATGGTGCAAGATGCATTCTGTGTTCTAAGGTGCCTTCTGGCTTTGACATCCTATGTTCTAAGGAACTGTGTGCCTGACATTCTATTTTCTTAGAGTTCTATTCTATGTTGTAAAATCCATGCTACTTTTTACTTTCCATAACCTTAAAGGAGGAGCTGGTTGGGAAGATCAGACATAGTGACAAAAAAAAAAATTTAATTACTCAAGGCACCATTTGCTAAGTGTCCAGTGGCATGATCTAATAGACTATGTTCAGAGGATCAGATCCCCATGGGATCTGGTCAGTGGGTGGCTAGCCATGGAAGACTTCCT